TAAGCAGCGGGGCACTGGGACTGGGAAGGGGGGCCCGAGGGGCAGTGGGGCCCAGAGGCAGTGGGGGGGATGGGGGTGGGAAGGGGGGCCCCAGGGGCAGTGGGGGGCCCTGAGGAGTAAGAAAGGGAGCCCTGGGGTTGGGAAGGGGGGCCCCAGGGGCAGTAGTGGGCCCTGAGGAGCCCTGGGGGTGGGAAGGGAGGCTCCAGGGGCAGTAGTGGGCCCTGAGGAGCCCTGGGGGTGGGAAGGGGGCCCCAGGGGCAGTGGGGGGATGAGGTGGGAAGAGGGGCCCTGGGGGTGGGAAGGGGAGCCCCAGGGGCAGGGTCCTGGGGTTTGGAAGGGCGGCCCCAGGGGCAGTAGGGAGCCCTGGGGGTAAGAAGGGGAGCCCTGGGGGCAGTAGGGGGGCCCTGGGGGTGGGAAGGGGGGCCCCAGGGGCAGTAGGGGGCCCAGAGGGGTAAGAAGGGAGGCCCTGGGGGTGGGAAGGAGGCCCCCAGGGGCAGTAGGGGACCCTGGGGGTAAGAAGGGGAGCCGCAGGGGCAGTAGGGGACCCCGGGGGTAAGAAGGGGAGCCGCAGGGGCAGTAGGGGGTCACTGAGGGGTAAAAAGGGGGGCCCTGGGGGTGGGAAGGGGGCCCTGGGGGGTAAGAAGGGGGGCCCCAGGGGCAGTAGGGGGGCCCTGAGGAGTAAGAAGGGGAGCCCTGGGGGTGGGAAGGGGGGCGCCAGGGGCAGTGGGGGGATGGGGTGGGAAGAGGGGCCCTGGGGGTGGGAAGGGGGGCCCCAGGGGCAGTAGGGGACCCTGGGGGTAAGAAGGGAAGCCCTAGGGGCAGTGGGGGGGGCCCTAGGGGGTAAGAAGGGGGGCCCCAGGGGTAGCAGGGGGCCCTGGGGGTGGGAAGGGGAGCCCCAAGGGCAGTGGGGGCCGGGGGGGGAAGGGGGGCCCCCGGGGTAGTGGGGGGCCCTGCAGGGTAAGAAGGGGGGCCCTGCCCCTGGGGCTCCCCTTCTTACCCCCCAGGGCCCCCCCACTGCCCCGGGGCTCCCCTTCCCTGGGGCCCTGGGGGTGGGAAGGGGGGCCCCAGGGGCAGTAGGGTACCCTGGGCGTAAGGGGGAGCCCCAGGGGCAGTAGACTCCCTACTGCCCCTGGGGCTCCCCTTCTTACCCCCAGGGCCCCCCTACCCACCCCCATCCCCCCACTGCCCCTGGGGCCCCCCTTCCCACCCCCAGGGCCCCCTTTCTTACCCGTCAGGGCTGCCCCTGGGGCCCCCCTTCTTACCCCTCAGTGGCCCCTTCTTACCCCTCGGGGCCCCTACGGCCCTTACCCCCTGGGGCCCCCCTTCTTACCCCCAGGGCCCCTCTTCCCACCCCCATCCCCCCACTGCCCCTGGCGCCCCCCCGTGGGGGTAAGAAGGGTGTCCGCAGGAGCAGTGAGGGGCCCTGGGGGTAAGAAGGGGTCCTGAGGGGCAGTGGGGGGGCCCCAGGGAGCCCTGAGGGGTAAGAAGGGGGGGCCCAGGGGCAGTGGGGGGACCACAGGGGTAAGAAGGGGGCCCTGGGTGTGGGAAGGGGTCCTGAGGGGCAGAGGCAGTAGGGGGCCATGAGGGGTAAGAAGGGGGCCCCAGGGGCAGTAGGGGGCCGTGAGGGGTGGGAAGTGGGTACCCAGGGGCACTAGGGGGCCCGGAGGGTAAGAAGGGGGGCCCCAGGGGGTAAGGGCCGTAGGGGCCCCGAGGGGTAAGAAGGGGCCCCTGAGGGGTAAGAAGGGGGGCCCCAGGGGCAGCCCTGACGGGTAAGAAAGGGGGCCCTGAGGGTGGGAAGGGGGCCCCAGGGGCAGTAGGGTGCCCTGGGGGTAGGAAGGGGGGCCCCAGGGGCAGTGGGGGGATGGGGTTGGGTAGGGGGGCCCTGGGGGTAAGAAGGGGAGCCCCAGGGGCAGTAGGGAGCCCTGGGGGTGGAAAGGGGAGCTCTGCGTGTGGGAAGGGGGGCCCCAGGGGCAGTGGGGGGATGGGGTTGGGTAGGGGGGCCCTGGGGGTAAGAAGGGGAGCCCCAGGGGCAGTAGGGAGCCCTGGGGGTGGAAAGGGGAGCTCTGCGTGTGGGAAGGGGGGCCCCAGGGGCAGTAGGGGGCCCTGAGGGGTACAAAGGGGGGACCTGGGGGTGGGAAGGGGGGCCCCAGGGGCAGTACGGGGCCCTGAGGGGTAAGGGGCCCTGGGGGTGGGAAGTGGGGCCCCAGGGGAAGTGGGGGGGCCCAGGGGGTAAGAAGGGGAGCCCCAGGGGCAGTAGGGAGCCCTGGGGGTGGAAAGGGGAGCTCTGCGTGTGGGAAGGGGGGCCCCAGGGGCAGTAGGGGGCCCTGAGTGGTAAGGGGCCCTGGGGGTGGGAAGTGGGGCCCCAGGGGAAGGGGGGGGCCCAGGGGGTAAGAAGGGGAGCCCCAGGGGCAGTAGGGACCCCTGGGGGTGGAAAGGGGGGCCCCAGGGGCAGTAGGGGGCCCTGAGGGGTACAAAGGGGGGCCCCGGGGGTACAAAGGGGGGCCCCGGGGGTCAAAGGGGGTAGAAGGGCGGCCCTGGGGGTGGGAAGGGGGGCCCCAGGGGCAGTGGGGGGCCATGGGGGTAAGAAGGGGAGCCCCAGGGGCAGTGGGGGGCCATGGGGGGTAAGAAGGGGAAGGGGGGATGGGGGTGGGAAGGGGGGCCGCAGGGACAGTGCGGGGGGCCCTGGGGGTGGGAAGGGGAGCCGCAGGGGCAGTGGGAGGGCCCTGAGGGTAAGAAGGAGGGCCCTGGGGGGTGGGAAGGGGGGCCCCAGGGGCAGTGTGGGGAGCCCGATGTGTAAGAAGGGGGCCCTATTGGGTAAGAAGGGGGGCCCTCGGGGTGGGAAGGGGGCCCCAGGGGCACTCGGGGGCCCTGGGGGTAAGAAGGGGAGCCCCAGGGGGCAGTGGGGGAGCCCGGGTGGGAAGTGGGTACCCAGGGGCACTAGGGGGCCCTGATGGGTAAGAAGGGGGGGCCCGGGGGGTGGGAAGTGGGTCCCCAGGGGGTAAGGGCCGTAGGGAGTAAGGGTGCCCTGGGGGTAGGAAGGGGGGCCCCAGGGGCAGTGGGGGGATGGGGGTGGGTAGGGGGGCCCTGGGGGTAAGAAGGGGAGCCCCAGGGGCAGTAGGGAGCCCTGGGGGTGGAAAGGGGAGCTCTGCGTGTGGGAAGGGGGCCCCGGGGGTGGGAAGGGGGCCCGGGGGGCAGTGGGGGGCCATGGGGGTAAGAAGGGGAGCCCCAGGGGCAGTGGGGGGCCATGGGGGGTAAGAAGGGGAAGGGGGGATGGGGGTGGGAAGGGGGCCGCAGAGACAGTGGGGGGGCCCTGATGGGTAAGAAGGGGGGGCCCGGGGGTGGGAAGTGGGTCCCCAGGGGGTAGGGCCGTAGGGAGTAAGGGTGCCCTGGGGGTAGGAAGGGGGGCCCCAGGGGCAGTGGGGGGGGATGGGGGTGGGTAGGGGGGGCCCTGGGGGTAAGAAGGGGAGCCCCAGGGGCAGTAGGGAGCCCTGGGGGTGGAAAGGGGAGCCTGCGGTGGGAAGGGGGCCCCGGGGGTGGGAAGGGGGGCCCCGGGGGTGGGAAGGGGGGCCCCGGGGGCAGTGGGGGGCCATGGGGGTAAGAAGGGGAGCCCCAGGGGCAGTGGGGGGCCATGGGGGGTAAGAAGGGGAAGGGGGGATGGGGGTGGGAAGGGGGGCCGCAGAGACAGTGGGGGGGGCCCTGGGGGTGGGAAGGGGAGCCGCAGGGGCAGTGGGAGGGCCCTGAGGGGTAAGAAGGAGGGCCCTGGGGGTGGGAAGGGGGGCCCCAGGGGCAGTGTGGGGAGCCCGATGTGTAAGAAGGGGGTCCTGGGGGTGGGAAGGGGGGCCCCAGGGGCACTCGGGGGCCCTGATGGGTAAGAAGGGGGGCCCTGGGGGTGGGAAAGGGGCCCCAGGGGCACTCGGGGGCCCTGATGGGTAAGAGGGGGGAGCCTCAGGAGCAGTGGGGGGGCCCTGGGGGTAAGAAGGGGAGCCCCAGGGGGCAGTGGGGGGCCCTGGGGAAGAAGGGGGGCCCCAGGGGCAGTAGGGGGCCCTGGGGGTGGGAAGTGGGTCCCCAGGGGCAGTAGGGGCCCCTGAGGGGTAAGAAGGGGCCCCTGAGGGGTAAGAAGGGGGGCCCCAGGGGCAGCCCTGTCGGGTAAGAAAGGGGCAGTGGGGGGATGGGGGTGGGTAGGGAGCCCTGGGGGTGGAAAGGGGAGCTCTGCGTGTGGGAAGGGGGGCCCCAGGGGCAGTAGGGGGCCCTGAGGGGTACAAAGGGGGGCCCTGGGGGTGGGAAGGGGGGCCCCAGGGGAAGTGGGGGGGCCCTGGGGGTAAGAAGGGGAGCCCCAGGGGCAGTAGGGAGCCCTTGGGGTGGAAAGGGGGGCCCCGGGGGTACGAAGGGGGGCCCTGGGAGTACGAAGGGGGGCCCCGGGGGTACGAAGGGGGGCCCCGGGGGGTGGGAAGGAGGACCCAGGGGCAGTGGGGGGCCCTGAGGTGTAAGAAGCGGGGCCCTGGAGGTAAGAAGGGGAGCCCCAGGGGGCAGTGGGGGGGCCCTGAGGAATAAGAAGGGGCCCTGGGGGTGGGAAGGGGGGCCCCAGGGGCAGTGGGGGGGCCCTGAGGAATAAGAAGGGGGGCCCTGGGGGTGGGAAGGGGGACCCAGGGGGCAGTGGGGGGGCCCTGGGGGGTAAGAAGCAGGGCCCTGGGACTGGGAAGGGGGGCCCCAGGGGCAATAGGGGGGCCCTGGGAGTGGGAAGGCGTACCCAGGGGGCAGTGGGGGGGCCCTGAGGGGTAAGAAGCGGGGCCCTGGGACTGGGAAGGGGGGCCCGAGGGGCAATAGGGGGGCCCTGGAGGTCAGAAGGGGAGCCCCAGGGGGCAGTGGGGGGGCCCTGAGGGGTAAGAAGCGGGGCCCTGGGGGTGGGAAGGGGAGCCCCAGGGGGCAGTGGGGGGCCCTGGGGGGTAAGAAGGGGGGCCCCAGGGGCAGTGGGGGGGCCACGCAATCCCCCCCCGCCGCACCTGCTCCACGCGGCTGTTGAATTCGTCCCTCTTGCCCTGCAGCGCCTCCAGCGCCCCCAGGAGGTGGAGCAGCCGCTCGTCCAGCTCCCGGCTCAGCGCCAGCTCGGCCATCGGCCCGGGGTCCGCCCCCCTCGGTCCCGCGCTGCGGCCCCCCCAATGCGCGTCCCGAGCCGCCGCCCCCACCAGCACCTGCCCCGGACCGAGCAGTCCCGGCTGCTCCCCGCACCCTCCCCTTCGCCCGGGCACATGACCTTGGAAACCAGCCAATGCCGGCTTCCCAGAGGGGCGGAGCCTCTCCAGCGTCTTCCAATCAGAGCTAAGGACGTTGACGAGGCGCTCCAATCACCCTCCTGGTGAGGCGGGAAGAAGCCGCTGATTGGACAGAGCCTTTTCCCCAGGCGAAGACGAAGCGGCGGCCGTCTTCGTTGAGGGCAAGTGCGACGCCGTCCCGTCTCGCCGCCATGTTGTAAAGGGCAAACCTGCCCCAGGCCCTTGGTCCGCCATCTTTGTCAGGGGCAACGGTGGGTTGTGACTCTCCCAGCACCCTAGGCCGCCATCTTTGTGAGGGGCAAAACGTCGCCCAGCCCAGTTGAGCATCCAGCTCTCTGATAGGCCGGGCAGGCTGGGCCAATGAGAGGCCGTGGTGTTGGGGGGCCGTGTCCCCCACGTGTTGTGGGGAGCGAGCCGCGGAGCGCCGCGAGCTGCCGGCATGGTACGGGCCCGAGTTGGGTTTGTTATTGTAGGGTCGCCCGAGAGGGGGAGGGGCCCGCGGCTGCTGCTCTCTCCGCGGGGGGGCAATTGGGGGCTGGGCTAGTTACTGTCGGGCCGCCTGGGGGGCGGGGGCTGGTCGGCGATTGGCGGGGGGGGTCTCGGGCTTTGTTATTGTAGGGTCGCCTCTTTCTGGGCTGGGGCCCCCTGGCAGTGCGGGGGGGGGGCTGGCGCTGTTGTGGGGCGGTCACGGGAGGCGGGGGGGCTGGTACCCCTAGGGGAGGGGGGAGCCCCCCCCCCGCGTTAACCCCCCCGCCCCGGTGTGTCCCGCCCAGTTGCGCCGCGAGGCCCGGCAGCGCCGGGAGTATCTGCACCGGCGGGCGCAGGAGGATCGGATCCGCGCCAGCGAGAGCAAGAAGCAGCGACTCAAGCAGGCGCTGGAGGGTACGGACCGGACCGGCGCCCCTTCCCCCCCTTCCCCCCCGCCGGCCGGCGCCCTCCCCGGCGAGCTGCGCCCCTTTCCCCCCGCCGGCCGGCGCCCTCCCCGGCGAGCTGCGCCCCTTTTCCCCCGCCGGGGCCCCTCCCCGGCGAGCTGCCCCTTCCCCCGCCGGCGGCGCCCTCCCCGGCGAGCTGGCCCCTCCCCCCCGCGGGGGCCCTCCCCGGCGAGCTGGCCCTCCCCGCCGGCGCCCCTCCCCGGCGAGCTGCCCTCCCCCCCGCCGCGGCGCCCTCCCCGGCGAGCTGCCCCCTCCCCCGCGGCGGCGCCCTCCCCGGCAGCTGCCCCCTTTCCCCCCGCGCGCCCCCTCCCCGGCGAGCTGCCCCTTTCCCCCCGCCGGCCGGCGCCCTCCCCGGCAGCTGCCCCTTTCCCCCCCGCCGGCGGCGCCCTCCCCGGCGAGCTGCGCCCCTTTCCCCCCGCCGGCCGGCGCCCTCCCCGGCGAGCTGCGCCCCTTTCCCCCCGCCGGCCGGCGCCCCTCCCCGGCGAGCTGCGCCCCTTCCCCCCCGCCGGCCGGCCCCTCCCCGGCGAGCTGGCCCCTTCCCCCCCGCCGGCCGGCGCCCTCCCCGGCGAGCTGCGCCCCTTCCCCCCCGCCGGCCGGCGCCCTCCCCGGCGAGCTGCGCCCCCCCCCCCGCCGGCGGCGCCCTCCCCGGCGAGCTGCGCCCCTTCCCCCCTTCCCCCCGCCAGCCGGCGCCTCCCCGGCGAGCTGCGCCCCTTCCCCCCGCCGGCCGGCGCCCTCCCCGGCGAGCTGCGCCCCTTTTCCCCCCGCCGGCCGGCGCCCTCCCCGGCAAGCTGCGCCCCTTCCCCCCCCCCGCCGGCCGGCGCCCCTCCCCGGCGAGCTGCGCCCCTTCCCCCCCCGCTGGCGCCCCTCGCTCCCGAGCTGCGCCCCCCCCTCACTCCCGAGCTGCGGCCCCCCTCCTCCTGCCGGTGCCCCTCTCTCCTGACCTATGGCCTTAGGGTTGGGACTTGGTGCTCTGCAGGATGGAGGAGGGGCTGGTTTGGGGCTGAAGGGACTGGGGGCAGGGCGAGGCTTGCGGGGGGGGGGGGGGGGGGGTTGTCTGGAATCACACTCTGACTCTTCCTCTTTCCCCTCCCCGCTCCCCCCAGAGAATCGGCTGCTGCCCACGGAGCTGCGTCGGGAGGCTCTGGCACTGCAGAAGTCCATCGAGTTTGATGACCAGGGAGCAGAAGGTGAGTTTGGGGGCAGGGGAGGGGGTTAAGGGAGCTTGGTGCCTCCTCCTCCAGGCTAGGAACCCCCTCCTCCCCAACACCCTTGGGCAGCATTGTTCTGTGTCCTTCCTGACTCTTCGCTGCCCGTCTGCCCTGAAGCATGAGAGTGGGCCACTTCCAGATGAAGCACAGACCCCCGCCGCCGAGATCCCTCTCCCCTCGTTGGGTCAGGTGCTGCACAGACACCCTGACCTGAGTTGGGGTCCCCCTGTTGGGCCGGACAGCCTCAGAGACCCGTTATCGCGGCCAGCTCACTTGGGGCAGGGGGAGCAGAGGCCGGTGGGGTGGGGGTGGAGGGGAGGGGGAGCTGGCCCTGGTCACCCACAGCTGAGCCGTGAAGCTTCTGCGTCCAGGTTGGATAAAAAAAGATGGTTACAAAAAACGCGGGGTGTTTTCTTAATTTATACTGGATTTTGGATGTTTTTCTGTTTAAAAATCCACCTGAAATTCCGACTGCTTCCGTTCAGGGCTGAGCTCCCTCCAATCTGGTATGGTCAGTTACGTTGTATTAAAAAACATCTATATTTAACGGGCCAGAGAGCCCCGAACCGGGTGGTCGTTACTGGTACCACTTTGCTGAAGGCCTTCTTCCCCTGTTTGCTCCGCGTCCATCTGTTCACCGAACTCAGGTCAGTGACAGCTTTGCCCCAGGTTAAAAAACCAATCAGGAGCTGCTTGGTTTCCTCTTCCCATCACTGAATAAAACCTCGGTGGGAGAGGATGAGATCAACTAGCTCTAAAATCCCGAAGGACATGGAGATGAGAAACAATCAGTTCAAATTCACTAGTTACAGCGAATACTCCCTTTGTACAATAAATCTGGGAGTTTCAAATCCAAGCCATGTTTTAATCAATTTTTTTTCCCCTGTATCCAGCTCTTCTAACAGGTAGGGCAGAATATGATCTTTTTGTAATTTCCATGGGTGATACTGAGGGTTATTTGTAAGCGTTTTCCCTGATTTGTATCTTTCCATTAGTTAAGCAAAATAATGGTGTTTACTCCTTTTGTCCTGCGATTTTGAGCTCTTTCAATTTTCATTTTGGGTTTTCAGCTTTTAAAAATTCTTTCCCACACGTGTGGGAATTGATGGGGCGTGAGGCGGGTTGGATAGGAATGCTTTAATGATGGGAGAGGCTGCGAATCGAAAAGTTAAAGCTTTCGAACTGTTAAGAGAAACTGTCAACGCCACACGTCAGACCACACCAAGGAAACCGCCCGAAAACCCGTTTGGATGCCTCCCGCTGCAGTGGTTTTCTTCCTCGGCCGACCTGCATGGTTTGGGTCCCGGCGCTGGGCCTGGTGAAATGGAGATTTGCGGACACAAGTCGAACGCGGCTAGGCCTGGTTTTCATGTCATTTTCTTTCGGGAATGAAAAACCTCAAGGGCGGTTTTGTGTGGTTGTAATCGGATTCCGGTTCCCGTCCAGATGGAGTTTGACGGGGATCCCGAGTGCAGCGGGGCCGGGAGAAGACTTGGCTGCCAGTCGCTGGAGATAAAAGCTGTCGAGGGACTGGCCGCGGCGCGAGAAATTTGCCACTCCCTGGCGGGATTAAAAGATAACCCAACCCCTGACTCGGTGTAAATGGGTGTCTCCCACCGAATTCAGGGCCTGAGCTGGGGCGGGAGGGCGTGGCCAGCCAGAGGCCACGGCGCCCCCCCCCGTTAACCCTTGCCTCCCGCGGCAGGGCTGGTGACGCAGCAGGACGATGAGTATCGCTGGGCGGGCGTGGAGGACCCCAAGGTGATGATCACGACCTCGCGCGACCCCAGCTCCCGCCTCAAGATGTTCGCCAAGGTACAGGGCCTGGGTTTGTTATTGTAGGGTCTCCTGGGCGCTGGTTTGTTTCTGCAGAGCGTCCCGGGGACTGGGGCTGGCGGGTAGGGCCGGCTTTGTTATTGTAGGGCCTCCTAGAGGGTGGGGGGGCTGTCGTCGGATCCCCTGATGTCGGGGGGCCGGGTGTGGTGTTGTCGGGCTGTTCGGGGGAGGGGCAGGTCTGTTGTTGTAGGGTCTCTCTCACACGCCCACGCCCCTCTCGTCGGCAGGAGATGAAGCTGGTGGTGCCGGGCGCCCAGCGCATGAACCGGGGGCGACACGAGGTGGGGGCCCTGCTCCGGGCCTGCAAGGCCAATGGCGTCACGGACCTGCTGGTGCTGCATGAACACCGAGGGCAGCCGGGTGAGCTGGGGGTGGGGGGGTGCGTGCTGGGGGGACACCCCCCCCCCGTCCAGGCCTGCTGAGAGCCAGGTGTGGGGGGTCTGCTCCGTCTCTGTCTGGTTCTGCTGGGATTCTGGAGGGCCCCCCCTCTGTTGGGGCTGGATGGGGACCCCCCTCTGCTGTTGTTTCTAGGGGGTCTCCAAGGTGGGGGGGCTGCAGGGCCTTTTAGGTGGGGGCTGTGTTCTGAGGGGGGCAGGGGAGCTCCATCCCCGCCCCCCAATGGCTAAACCCCCCCCTCCCCTCCCCCCAGACGGACTGATCGTCTCCCACCTGCCCTTCGGCCCCACAGCGTTCTTCACCCTCTGCAATGTGGTGATGCGTCACGAGGTCCCCGACATCGGCACCATGTCCGAGGCCAACCCCCACCTGATCTTCCACAACTTCACCTCCCACCTGGGCCAGAGGGTGAGCGGGGGGCGGCTGGGTCCTTGTCGGGTCTTCCGAGACTGCCCAGGCTGGCTTTGTTATCGTCGGGTCTTCTAGGGACTGGGGCTGCCCGGGGAGGGGGACAGGGACCGCTTTGATATTGTAGGGTCTCTGGGGAACGTTTGTGCAATGTGTTTATTGTAGGGTCTCCTGGGGGGCATTAGAACAATCTGGGGACTGGCTGCTTGTTGTAGGGTCTCAATTCCCCTCCCCGCCCCCAAAACCCAGCGCTTCTCGATCTCTGCCCCTCAGGTCTGCAGCATCCTCAAGTACCTCTTCCCGGTGCCCAAGGAGGACAGCAAGCGGGTCATCACCTTCGCCAACCAGGACGATTACATCTCCTTCAGGTGCCAGGCCTCCCCCAGAATGCAGCCACTTCTGGGGTGGGGCAGGTGGGGAACAGCCACATATAACACCACACGGGGATGGCTGGGACTGAGGATGCCTCAGTTTTCTCCCGGCTCTGGGAGGGGAGTGAGGGCTGGCAGGGGGGCTGGGAGCCAGGCCCACGCCGGGTGACCCACCTCTCTTGTGTCCCCCACAGGCACCACGTTTATAAGAAGACGGACCATCGCAACATCGAGCTGTCTGAGGTGGGGCCGCGCTTCGAGATGAAACGTGAGTCATGTCACTGGGGGTCCCTCATAAAAACATAGGACTGGCCAGACTGGGTCAGACCAAAGGTCCATCTAGCCCAGTATCCTGTCTGCTAACACTGGCTAATGCCAGGTGCCCCAGAGGGAATGAACAGACCAGGGAATCATCAAGTGATCCATCCCCTGTGCCCGTTCCCAGCTTTGGGCAAACAGAGGCTCAGGACCCCATCCCTGCCCAGCCTGGCTAATAGCCATTGACGGATCTATCCTCCAGGAGCTTATCTAGTTCTTTTTTTCACCTTGTTATGGTCTTGGCCTTCACAGCATCCTCTGGCAAGGAGTTCCACAGGTTGACTGTGTGTTGTATGAAGAAATACTTCCTTTTGTTTGTTTTAAATCTGCTGTCTATTCATTTCATTGAGTGACCCTTAATTCTTGTGTTATGAGGAGTAAATAACACTTCCTGATTTACTTTCCCCACACCACCCATGATTCTACAGACCTCTGTCATCTCCCCCCTTAGTCGACTCTTTCCCAAGCTGAAAAGTCCCAGTCTCATTAATCTCTCCTCATACGGCAGCCGTTCCAAACCCCTAATAATTTTTGTTGCCCTTTGCTGAACCCTTTCTCATTTCTATATATCTTGTTCGAGATGGGGGCAGCCACATCTGCATGCAGTGTTCAAGGTGGGGGCATCCCATGGATGTACATAGAGGCAATAGGATATTTTCTGTCTTATTCTCTCTCCCTTTCTTGATGGTTCCCACCGCTCTGGTCGCTTTTTTGATGCCGCGGCACACTGAGTGGATGTTTGCAGAGAGCTCTCCACGACGACCCCAAGATCTTTGAGTGGGAACAGCTAATTCAGACCCCATCATTGTGTACGTGTGGTCGGGATTCTGTTTTCTGATGGGCATTTATCAACATTGAATTTCATCTGCCATGTTGTTGCCCAGTCACCCAGTGTTGAGGGATCCCTTTGTAGCTCTTCGCCGTCTGCCTGGGACTTAACTATCTTGAGTAGTTTTGTATCATCTGCCAACTTTGCCACCTTGTTGTTCACCCCTTTTTCCAGATCATTGATGAATACGGTGAATAGGCCTGGGCCCAGTACAGACCCCTGGGGGACACCACTATTTACCGCTCTCCAGTCTGAAAACTGACCATTGATTCCTAACCTTTGTTTCCTATCTTTTAACCAGTTACTGATCCATGAGGGGACCTTCCCTCTTACCCCGTGACAGCTCACTTTGCTTAGGAGCCTTTGGTGAGGACCTTGTCAAAGGCTTTCTGAAAATCTAAGTACACTATATCCACTGGATCCCCCTTGTCCACATGCTTGTCGACCCCCTCAAAGAATTCTAGTAGATTGGTGCGGCGTGATTTCCCTTTACAAAAACCACATTGACTCTTCCCCAACAAATCATGTTCATCTCTGTGTCTGACAATATTGTTCTTTACGATCGTTTCAACCCCACTTGCCCGGTACTGATGTCACGCTCACCGGCCTGGAACTGCCGGGGTCACCTCTGGAGCCCTTTTTCAAAACCAGGCACCTGGTGAAGACGCTGATTTAAATGACGGGTTACATGCCCTAGTTAGCAGTCCTGCAATTTCACATTTGAGTCCTTCAGAACTCTTGGGGGATCTCCTCTGGTCCTCGTGACTTATTGCTGTTTAATTTATCAATTTGTTCCGAAACCACCTCTAATGACACCTCAGTCTGGGACAGTTCCTCAGATTTGTCACCTAAAAAGACTCCGGTGTGGGAATCTCCCTCGCATCCTGAGCTGTGAAGACGGATGCAAAGAATTCATTTCGTTTCTCCGCAATGGCCTTATCGCCCTTGAGTGCTCCTTTAGCATCCCGATCGTCCAGTGGCCCCACTGCTTATTTAGCAGCTTCCTGCTTCTGCTGTATTTGAAAAACATTTTCTGTTACCTTCTGAGTCTTTGGCTGGCTGTTCTTCAAATTCTTTTTTGGCCTCCTAATTACATTCTTACACTTCATTTGCCAGAGTTTATGCTCCTTTCTATTTTCCGCACTAGGAGTTAACTTCCACTTCGTAAAGGATGCCTTTTTGCCTCTCGCTGTTTTTTATTTTGTTGATTCGCCACGGTGGCTCTTTTTTGGTTCTCTCACGATGCTTTTTGAATTTGGGGGATACCTTTAAGTTGAGCCTCCGTCTGTAAAACGGTTCCATGCAGCTTGCAGGGATTTCACTGTTGGCGCTGTGCCTTTCCGTTTGTGTCACTAACCTCCTCGTTTTTGTCTCGTTCCCTTTGCTGAAATTAAAGGCTGCAGTGTTGGACCGTTCTGGTGTTTTCCCTGCCACAGGGATGTTAAATGTAATTCTGTTATGGTCACTGTTACCAAGCCCTTCAGCTCTTGGACCAGATCCTTTAGACCCTTAGGACTAAATCAAGACTCTCCCTCCCGGTGGGTTCCGGGACCAGCGGCTCCAAGAAGCAGTCGTTTAAGGTGTCAAGAAACTTGGTCTCTGCATCCCGTCCTGAGGCGCTAGGCTTCCAGTCAATATGGGGCTAGTTGAAATCCCCCGTTCTTAGTGAGGTTTTTATCTTTATACCCTCTCTAATCTCCCTGCGTATTTCACAGTGACTGTCACCATCCTGGCCAGGTGGTCGGTAGTAAATCCCAACGGCTCTATTCTTCTTAGTAATTCCTTGCTCGAATAACATCCAGAGAGATTCCACGGTACCGTTTGCTTCATTTAAGATTACTTCATTTGACTCTTCTCTTTTCTTTCACATCTGGTGCCACTTCCCCACCAGCCCGACCGGTTCTCTGCTTCCTCTCCGTTTTCTCCCCTGGTATTACTGTGTCCCCTCGATTCTCCTCATTCCACCAAGTTTCTGTGATCCCTGTTATATCAATAGCCTCATTTAAGACGAGGCACCCAAGCCCAGACCCCTCTCCCTGTCCCAGACCCCCAGCAGGGTCCTGTTGTCGATTGTCTCTACCCCCCCGCCCCCGGGCTGGGCAGAATCCAGGGGAAACTGAGGCAGATGGTGGGCTTCCTCAGACAATTCCAGAAAATTTGTCCCATCCTGCCCCTCGCACCCTGAGTAATTGGGGAGAGGGCTCCCCAGCTTTGCCTGTCTCCCAGCAGCGGGTGCTTCCTGCCTCCTGGGGGCACCCCGCTGACCCCCGGCCCCTCCCTCGTTCCAGTGTACATGATCAAGCTGGGCACGCTGGAGCAGGCAGCCACGGCCGACGTGGAGTGGTGCTGGCATCCTTACACCAACACGGCCCGGAAGCGGCAGTTCCTGAGCGCGGACTGAGGGGCGCCCGGGGGCGGGCCTGGCTCAGAGCGTCCCCCCGGCTGGAGCGCGCCCGGCGCCGGCTGGGAATTTCACCCGGAGCGGTTTCCTCGGCCCTGGGCCGTGGGCAGCGGAGTGCAAAGGAGGAGCTCCGACTTGGGAGCGTCTCTCGGCCCTGAGGGATGCCCCTGGGGGCACCGCCCTGCGGTGGAGGGGAAGCACCAGGGGAGCTCCTGTTTTCACACTTTTATTTTTGTAGGGTCTGCTCTAATACACCGCTTGGTTCGACCCTGGGCTTGGTTTCTGCTTCTGTCTGTTCACGGCCGTTCCCGTCTTGCCGGGGTAGAGCCACCAGGGCTCCCCGGGTTGGGGGGGGGTGGGATTTAGCGCCGGTGCCCCCAAGTTGTGGGGCCTAGCTCACATCAGTGCCCCACTGAGTCAAAGGCGAGAACCCAGGAGTCCTGGCTCCCTGCACCTGGAAGAGAACCCAGCAGTCCTGGCTCCCAGCCTGTTGTCAGTTGATGGGGGGCAGGGCTCGCTCTGTGCTGTGGGGTGATGCAGGGCTGCGGCCCAGTCCAGCTGGAGTTTGCGGGGGAGGGGCACAGGCCCTGGTGCCCCCATCCCCCCTAGAGCCGCGTCCACTCGGCAGGGGGGTCGCGGGGTCCTTTTGGCTTCCCGATGCGGAAGTTATAGCCTGGGGCAGAGACAACAGTGAGGAGGGGGCCTGTACCTGCCCCCCAGTCCCAGAGCCTGACCCCACCCCCCTGCCCAGACTCCCCAGATCCAAACTGCTGTGGGGTCCCATCCCCCCCCCCAGGACTCCTGGGTCCCCAGTCAGAGCCAGGGGCCTGCCCCAGATTCCTGGGTCCCAACCCCTGACCACACACCCCCTGCTCCCATCCTGGGGCCTGCCCCCCAATGTGCCCCTCCCCCCACACCCACTTCCTACCGAGACCGTTGCCCGGGGAGGCGAGGGGGCCGCAGCCACTCCCAGGTGAGGGGTCCATGGCCTCGTAGCCGTCAGGGTCATGGCGGGGGGAGCTGGGGCCTGGCGGAAGAGAGAACAATGAGGCCTCCCCGGCTGTGGCCGGCGCTGCGATGCAGCCACCTCTGGGGCGGGGTGGCTGGGGAACAGCCACACACAACACCACACCGGGATGGCTCGGCCAGCCCTGAGATGCAGCTGCGGCTGGGGGTGCCTTGGACGCGAGGCCGCGATGACTGCCGCACCCACTCCAATTGCCGGGGTTTCCCATCCAGGTACTGAAGTAGCCTCTCCCTGTTTAGCTGTGTGATCCCCTGCCCCCCCTTCGCACCCCACTCACCCATCTTCTGGGGAGATGCCACAAAAGCCTGTGGATGAGATGGAGAAAAATGAACGACAGAGACTGACACACGCCCCCATCCCGCCAACCACTAGGCCCCACTCCCCTCCCAGAGCTGGGAGAGAACCCTGGCGGCCTGACTCTGAAGCCTCCCCGCTCGCCCCACCAGCCTCCTCCAGCCCCACCCATGGTGGCGCCCCCTCTGGCTGCAGCCGGCCGGGCAGGGGGTCACTGGCCCTGGGGGGAGGACTCACCGGGGGTTTCAGACTGGGTAGCAGGGTCTTCCCGCACCTGGCGCTGGGCGAAGGGGGGCCCCGGGGGCTGGCGTCACCTGGAGCAGAGAGATGGGCAGGGGTCAGAGTGTGGACCCCTGGGTCAGACCCCCCTACCCCCCGGGCAGCTGGGGTCCCCCCTCCCCGGGTCAGAGCCACCCCAGGACTCTTGAGTCCAAGGCCCTCCTTCTGCATCGGATCCATGATGCAGGTCCCCCCCAGATCAGACCCATGGTCCCTCCTGGCTTCCTCCCCCCCCCCCCCATCAGACCCACAGCCCCTCCTAGCCCTGGACTCCTGGGTCCCCTCCCCGTACCTGCGCTGGCGGAGTTGGGGGTGTATTCACAGCTGGGGCTGGGTGGCAGGCGTTTCACGGGGCTCCCAGGCAGGGAGTTGCTGGCCTGCAGCCTCCCGAAGCCACTGGGGTCGATGGGGGACCACGCGGGGCTGGTCTCCCGAGAGGGGGACCCTGCCGGCCTGCCCCCCCGCCGGAACTTGTTCACCACGGCATAGGTGTCGCTCATCTTGGGGGGCAGGTCCGGGGTGGGCTCGGACGGCACCGAGATGCTCCTGGGGGGGAGGGGGAAGGAGAGTAACCTTGGGGCCAAGCCAGGGAGAGAACCCAGGAGTCCGGCTCCCCTCCCACACCCATCCTGTAACCAGTAGCCCTGGGGCTGGAGCAGGGGGCAGGGAGCAGATACTTCACAGTCTATTTCTGGGAAACAGAAAGTAGCTGGCGAGTGGCCTGTTGGCTAATTGGAAGGGGGGGGCGGTTGGGGGGTCAAAGCAGGGCAATGTGGGGGCTGGGAAGGGGGGGGGGGTGCTCAGAGCAACTACAGCAATTGCCCCGGCCGGGCTGTAGGTAACATCCAATGGGGTGTTAACTCTGACCCCTAATGACTGTCCATTTCCAGGCTACATTGGCAGCTGCTGCAGTATTTAGGTCCGGGCTGCCCCAGAGGTGGCTACATCCCAGCACCTGGCGAGCCCTCCCTGGGCAGTGTTACATGCGGCTGCTCCCCCCGCTGCCGCACGCCCGAGGTGGCTGCATCTGGCCGGTCACTCACCGTAAGACGCTGCTGTGTTTGCTATGGGGCGCGGGGCGGCGCAGGGACACGGCGTCGTCGTACAGGGGCAGCTGGTTCTGCGGGGAGAGGAAGGGGTGAGCCGGGAAGGGGGGAAGACGTCCCCGCCTGGTGGTTACACTGGCTTTTTGCTTCCTCCTGCAGGAAGTGTGACAACGGGCCGCGGGCGGTTAACCCAGCCGGTGCCGGAGGGCCTGGCCTGGGGAAGGAGCAGAGGGTGCAACCCTGCGGCCTCCACCTGCCCCCCCATTCCTCCATCCCGCCACGCACCTGTCCCTCCACCCGGCCCCCCGTCCCTCCACCCGGCCCCCCATTCCTCCATCCCGCCACGCACCTGTCCCGCCCCGGACGCACCCCTGCGGCCTCCACCCGGCCCCCCATTCCTCCTTCCCGCCACGCACCTGTCCCGCCCCAGCCGCACCCCTCCATCCATCCGGCCCCAGGGTGGGGACTGGCTGGCTCAGGGGGGGCAGAAAATGGGGCGTGGGGCCTGTCCCCACTAGGGGGCGCCGGCTGCCATCTGGCCCCACAGCAGGGACTGGCTGGCTCACGGGGGTGGGGAATGGGGCGCAGGGCCCTGTTCCCACCAGGGGGCTCTGGCTCCCGTGCACGTTATGTTGCCAGCTCACCTATGAACTAAACTTGCAGGTCTCAGCCCTCTGGGCTACTCCCCTGTGGGGCCAGTTGGGAGCCGGCCCCCGCTGGAGGGGACAGGCCCCACGCCCCATTCCCCACCCCACTGAGCCAGCCAGTCCCTGCCCAGGGGTCAGATGAGAGCTGGCGCCCCCCAAGAGGGGACAGGCCCCATTTCCCCCCCACAGGCAGAGAGAATTCACAAGCCCTGAGCATGAGGCAGGAGCCAGGATGGGGGGCCGGGGACTGCTCCACCTTTCAGCCCCACGGAGCCGGGGAGATGGGGAAGGGAGGGGAACTGAGCCCCCCAACCCCTGCCGGTCCTGCCCCCTGCACCCCATCTCTACTGCTCCAGACCCACCCCCCATGTACCCCAATCTCTTCCTTCTCAACTGCTCCAGCCTGCCCCCCATGTGCACCTCCCCCAGGTGCACCCACTGATTCACACTCTTCCCCCCCAGCAACCCTCCAGGATCCAGATCCCCCCCCCTCCTACCGCACAGGCCGACGGAGCTGTTTACAGGGCTGAATCGAAAGGGGAAGGGAGGCACGTGGGACTTCCTCAAGTGGGAGGAGGGGCCAAGGGGGTTGGACCTGGGGGGATAGCGGGCTGGGGGGGGGGGGAAATGGGGGGTGCTTGGGCGGGATCATAACCGGGTTACGGTTCGAGTGGCCCTGCGCCCCCTGCTGGAGGAGCTGGGCCCTGCGCCGCGTCTGGGCCCCCCCCTGCTGGAGGGGCCCTGCCCCGGGGCCCCTCTCACCTCCTTGAGGTTCTCGTAGGTGGTGGCCAGGGTGGAGCGGAACATCTCGGCCACGGCGTGGTACAGAAACTCGTACTGCTCCTGCCAGAGGGGACACGGCCACGTTAGGGGGGCTGGCTGGGGGGGGCGCTCCAGTGGCCCCGGCCCCACCTCTCCCAGCAGGGGCACTGTGTGGGGCGGGGTGGGCGTCCGGCTGGGGGAGAACCGAGGGGCTCACCAGCGTCTGGACAGCCGACGGTCTCTGCTTTCTCATCGCTAGGACGATGTCGAAAATGCTGAAATTCGGGGGGATGCTCTGAAAAACGGGAGAAGGCTCGTGAGTCCGGCAGGGGGCAGCCGCGGGTCAGACACACGCCCACGCACGGACCTATGCTCACGGACACACACGGTACCTGCTGGAGGAGGAGGTGTCTCACGTGCTCCAGGATGCAGATCACGCCGGTCCGGCCACAGCCAGCGCTGCCAAGGGGGAGGAAGCAGGAAGAAAATGGGTGAAGAACAATTCCCCCGATCAAATCCCTCTCGGGGGCGAAGGGGACCTTCACCCCACACGCTGCCCATGGGTGTTCACTCTGAAACCTAATGACTGGTGGTAGAATGTGACTCCCTCTTTGGTAGACATTCAAATGGGAGTCACGTTCTACCACCAGTAGATGGCTACAGCTGCAACCTTCATGCGACTCTGGTGGGTGTTCACTCGGAGCCCTAGTGAATGGAGCTATGATGCAGAACCATCATTAGTGTACGTTCACCCTGAACCCTAATGGCTACAGCTGCAACCTTCACACCTCTCTGGTGTACGTTCACTCTGAAATCTAATGACCAGAGTTACAATTTGAGCCCATCTTTGGTAGGCGTTCACTCTGAACTCTAATGACTGACAGTTAAATGGGGCATCCTGAGTGTTGACAGTGGGATCTTTATCCCAAACCCAAAGGCCTGGGTGAACAGTGGGGTGCCATTGCACTGGGCATTTGCCCTGGACCTTAATGATGGGTTTCAGCAGGCATCAGCCACCCAGATTGCTGGATTGTTCACTCTGAACCCTAATGACTGGGTTTTCACTAAGGTCATGGTTTGTCTCAACATGGCTGTTAGCTGTGAACCCTAATAATTATGTTTTTAAAAGGGGCTATAGCTCATCTCAACAAGGCAGTTAACACTGAACCCTAATTACTGTGTTTCAAAGGGGGACGTAGCTCATTTCAGAATGACCATTACTTCTGAAATAGAACAACTAGGGTTGAAATAGGGACACCCTGACGGGCCCGTTCACTCTGAATCCTAAAACTTGAGGTTTAAATGCGGGTGTGGCTTATCAGAACATGAATGTTTACTCTGAACCCTAATGTTTGCTGTTAAATGGGGCCTTGATATGTTTTAACATCAGTGTTAACTGGATGCTAATGATCGTTGTTTGAGTGCGACACTGCCCATTTCTGTGTGTTCACTCTGAACCCTAAGCACCTGCTCGTGTTAATGGGTGCGTTCACTCTGAACGCTCCCGCTGGCCATTCAATGACGGCTCTGTACCATTTCTCAGGTTGCATAAAAGGGGCGGAGCTCATAGGAGGGGGAGGCAGTCAGTGGGTGGGGTTTGGATTGTGGGAGGGGCTTTGCAGTTGGCGGGGCTTAATTTTTTCTAGCAGACCCTTGGCTATGAAGACTGCTGTCTGTCTCCATCGCTCCCTCCCCCCGCAGCACAGCGCCCCCTACCTGCAGTGCACGCAGATGGGGGCTGAGTCGTCCCCCTGCGTCAGTCGCACGTGCTCGATCAGCTCCAGGAAATGGCTGTAATTGTCCGGGATCCCGCGGTCTGGCCAGGCCACGTACTGGAAATGGGTGAGGGGCCGCTCCTCCTGGGGAGGGAACAGAAGGCATCAGCCCTGCTCCGCACGGCACGGCCTCCCCAGCACCCACCCCTGCTGGGGGACAGCGCCCCCTGCTGAGCCCCCCACCCTGCTCCCTGCAGCACACCACCCCCCAGTGTCCAGCCCTGCCAGGGGAGAACGCCCCCTGCCCAGCCCCCCACTCCCCACAGCATGGTGCCCCCGCCCCGTGCCGTGCCCGGCCCTGCCAGGAGAGAGTGCCCCCTCCCCAGCCCCCCGCTCCCCGCAGCACATCGCCCCACAGCTCACCGACCTTCTGGAAGCTGACGCTCAGCGTGCGGACTGTCACGTCCGGATTCAGCTCCTGCTCCTTGACCTGAGACAGACACAAGCTGAGCTGCAGACAGAGGCTTCAGGGGGTGCCGACATTGCACGGTTATTAAATGCCTTTAGTGTCCCCCTACAGAGGCACAGCTGCAGCCACCTCTGGGTGAGGTGAGGAACAGCTGCAGATAATGCTGCACAGGGACGGCTCACGTGGCGCTGAGCTGCAGCCACCTCTGGGCCGGGGCAGCCGGGGAACAGCCGCATATAACACCCCCCAGGGAGGGCTCGCCCAGAGCTGAGCTGCAGCCACCTCTGGGGCAGGATGGAGTTGCCCAGCAGCAGTTTGGGACAGGAAGTGAAGGGGAGTTGTGTCTCTCCTGGAGAGCCCCCAGGCTGCCCCCACAACCCCTCCCGGGTACCTGGACGATGGAGAAGGGCCCAATTTGTAGCAGTTCTTGCTTCAGTGGCCAGTAGCGTTCACACTTTTTCTAAGGAGGGAAAGTCAGTTCATGGAGGGTCCATGGGGGTCGCCCCTCAGACGCCCCCCACAGCCAGGGGGTGGGGGTGGACACAGATTGGCCCCTACACTCACCTTCCCCATCTCCACTTCCCGACAGGCCATAGCAATTACCTGGAAGGAAGGGAACGAAACAGTCAGGAAAAAAGAGCGAGAGAAGGAGCATGCTCCAAACAGTACCTGGCTGGACTGAAATAGCCCCCACTCCCCTTCCAGAGGATGGGAGAGAACCCAGGAGTCCTGACTCCCCTTGGCAAAACCCCCTCTCCCCCCCACACACCCTGTTCTTTGCAAACAGCCCTCACCTGAGCCCTGACAGACTCACCTCACCCGGCCCACGTCCTGCAGGGTCGTTACCCCCAAAGGGTAACGGGGGAGGGGGGCCATTTCAGAAAGGTCCTGACTCCTCAAAATTCATCCCCACGGCAAGCGGGACTATTTTAGGAGGGACCGCTTTAGCTGGGAGTCTTGCTCTCTGGCCTCGGGGTGGCAGTTCGTCCCCAGAAGCCATCGGATCTTGGTCCATTTGAATCGGCAGCAGGACCCAGAGGAGTTGAATTTCTGACCTTTTCCCGGCCTGTTCTGCTCCCAGGCTGCGGTTACGCAAAGGAGTATCTGGGAGTGTGACTGGGAGAGCTTCTCTGGCGCTGAGATGCAGCCACCTCTGGGGCGGGGCAGCTGGGGAACAGCCGCACATAACGCCACACAGGGATGGCTCGCCCGGCGCTCAGATGCAGCCACCTCTGGGACGGGGCAGCTGGGGAACAGCCGCGCAGCAGCATGGGACAGCCTTCATTCTGTAAGCTCGTCTCTCTCCCCAGCAGAAGTTGGGCCAATAAAAGCTCTTGTCTCTCTTGTGCCAGGGAAGGAAATTTATCAACGAGACGGAGCCGGAAGACGAATTTCTCTCCATGGTGCATGTAGCAGTGAAATGACGCTCGCATAGTCTTGGGCATTACCCCGGGCAACGCACTGGCGAGGAAGAGGGACTAGCCGGCCGGCAGAAGAGCGTGTCCGTGTTTCTGTGACTCCCTCAGGTGGCCAGCCTGTCTTGGGAGAAAGTGAGGGAAGATAACCTCGTAGGAGTGCGTGAAGAGAAGCAGCAGGAAACACAGAAGGTGCTAAGCCCCTTGCAGGATTTCAGGAGATGATGGAGCTTCAGCCCCGTGCCCGGCCTTCAGGCCCCGGCTCGTGAAATGGCGGCGCGGCATTCTGCCGTGAAAAGCCTCGCCCGTTGGCTTCCACACGGTCTTGACGGCTCTGATGGAACGAAAAGATGAGGCCATCCTGATTCCGCACCCAGGGGCCTACGCATGGCGGAGAGCTTCCCAACAGGGCCGGGGCAGCGCCCGCAGGATCCTGGATCTGGGGGCGCGGCCCGAGAGTGGCATTTTAGGGAGGGGAACGCGAGCGTGGGCAGTTACTGGTGAAAGTGATGCATAAAGCCCCTCGTCACACGAGGCCGCGCCGCAGGCCATGTGGCAAGTGGTGTCCCCCCCGCTTCTGAGTCGTGCCAAGAGCCGCAAACCGAAGCCCCTGGATTTTGCAAATCCTGCGGAAGATTATGACAAACCTTGTTGCCAGCAGTTTCCGGGAGCCGGTGGCATCCACGTGGGCAGCTGTCCCAGTCCTGGCGCGGGTCCTACCCTTCGCCAGCGCTCAACAGGATGGAATTTAGAGGCCGTCAGAAGAACACGTCCTGTTCTTTCACCAACGTGCCCATGTAAGGTCTGCCCAACGGGGATCTATGTACTTAGTGGAAAGGAACCAGCCCCGACTTGAAGGGTTCAATCAGGTGGATATCTGCGGACCACCGCGGACTGCATGCAGATACCAATTTTATTTCCAGGCAGGGCTCTATGGATCCGGCGCGCTCCCAAGCGTGGCTCAGTGCCACTGAGAAAAGAAAAGGAATTATAGGGCGACCAGACAGCAAGTGTGAAAAATCGGGACGGGGGTAGGGGGTAATAGGAGCCTATATAAGAAAAAGACTCAAAAATCAGGACATCTGGTCGCCCAGGTATCCCAGGAACTGGGGCAGTGCTCAGCAGCCAGGCTCTCGCCTGTAATCTACGTGCCCAAACCAGAAAACCGTTTGGCCTTGGGCTTGATCACCAAACAGCTTGCAACCACGCTGCCCCACCGGCGGGAAAGCAGCGCCGCCCCGTGGGGGGAAATGGAGCGGCTCACGACGCTTCCGAGTATTCGCAGCGCCGGATTTGGCTGCACAGACCCATTCAGGAAACTCTGGGTGCAGAACGATTTGGCCAGGAGCCACCGAATCGCTCTGTGCGGGGAACGGGCTGGTGAGGGCGGGGGAGCGTCCGCACCAAATTCCGCGACCCACTGGAAAAGACGAGGGGCAGGTGCAGCCTAGGAAGTTAGATCGGCCCAGCTCCATCACCGGCTTCTGCGCAAGGAACGACGCGACAGACGTGCTCCGCAGTCAATCAGGAAAATCATCGAGGACCGACCTGTTCCGCTCCTTGGCCCATCCCGGAAATACCCCCGATCCGGTGCAGAACTCCAAGCCCACGCTCCGTGGCACACAGCAATCTTCAGATCCGGGGCCTCGAAGAAGCCTGCTGCGGGGACAAGCGAGACGCGAGCTGACCCCGCAGAGTAGGCTGAGAGGCTGCGATACGGTTTCCTGTATTGGTGGGCGCAGCAAGAAATCGGCTTGGAGAACATCCCTGGAGAAACGCGAGTGGCTAAAGGAACTTGCAGAAGGACGACCTACGGAGGGAAACCGGCCTCTCCGCACGAAAGGTCACGGCACCGATCCCACGCCACCCTCAGGCTGGGCCACACGCAACGGAGAACCGGCACCCACGCGAGTGTCCCTGCAGCCGATCCCTGGCGGCGGTGTGGAAATTGCAAACTGTGGATCCGTAAATCACAATGCTGGAGGTGTGGACAAGGCACATCGGCACGCACCGCAGCCTGCAAATGCAAGGGGTACGCCGGCACGTATAGGAACGGTTCAATTATGCCTGTCTGAGCAACGTGCGGGGTGCGTCGCGTTCGTAGTGGAATAAAAACGGCACCGAAATTTGCTAATTCCTCAAATTCTGAGGAACATCCGATGAAGTGAGCTGTAGCTCACGAAAGCTCATGCTCAAATAAATTGGTTAGTCTCTAAGGTGCCACAAGTACTCCTTTTCTTTTTTCAAATTCTACTGAAATTTGGCCCCGACGACGAACTGTTCCAAATTCAAATGGCAAACATTTTTCCCCGATTCGGCAAATCGAAATGATGCCAGACAACATACTTTGCCTATCCCCCTGCCCTCTTCCCCCCGAGAAATGCCTCATGTCTTATTTGATAGCAAACCAGGAGAGAAGATTTCGTGCTCCGCAGGGAGTCAGCCAAGTTGGGACAGTTCACAGATAGCGGAAGAGAGCATTCAAGGCGAGAGAAATCCTCTTCCTGGGTTCGTTTGCAGAGGAAATCCCACCAGGAGCAAGGGGTGTTTGGGGCACACACTGCATCTTTAGGGGTACAGGATCTGGGCCCAGCTCAGAGGAGCATGTTTGGGTGGCTGAACGGCCGGGGGTGTCCGGGTGCTGGCACCCAGCTACGGGGGTGAGCAGGTGACTGCCCGGCCTGGGCCCTCGAGAAGTGTTACACCCACCTTCACCCCGTACTCCCAAATCATGCGCCAGAAATCCAGGACGGTGTGAGGCAGCGGCCCCTGGGTCGCGATGTAGCATCTCTTGTTATTCGCCCACTGGCAGGAGACAAAGGGGGGGAAATAAGTCACCCGCCACCTGCAGGGCAGTGCCTCCCACTGAACCCCCCCCCGCAGCACGTGTGCCTTGCTTACCCCCCCAGCCCCGTGCCCCCTGCTGAGCCCCCCCATCCACCCCTGCAGCCCGGCGCCCCCTGCTGAGACCCCCCATCCACCCCCTGCAGCCCAGCGGCCCCTGCTGAGCCCCCCAATGCAGCCTGGCACCCCCCCCATCCGCCCCCTGCAGCCCGGTGCCCCCTGCAGAATCCCCCGCTCACCCCCTGCAGCCCGGCAGCCCCTGCTGAGCCCCCCAATGCAGCCTGGCGCCCCCCCATCCGCCCCCTGTAGCCCAGCGCCCCCTGCTGAGTCCCCCCATCCACCCCCTGCAGCCCGGCACCCCCTGCTGAGTCCCCCCATCCGTCCCCTGCAGCCCGGCGCCCCCTGCTGAGTCCCCCCATCCGTCCCTGCAGCCCGGCACCCCCTGCAGAATCCCCGGCTCACCCCCTGCAGCCCAGCGCCCCCTAGTGCTGCACTGGGTCGGCGGGGCCAGCACTGGTGCGAGGGGGCGAGTGCCCCCTGCTGCGGAGGGCGGGGGTTACCTGGATGAAACTGGCGTTGATATAGTCCGTCTGCCCTTCCTCCGTGCAGAGATTCACAACGACCCGGGTCTGATCGTCTGCCGGGGAGAGAGGGAGGGATCGACAAATTCAGCCTGGGAGTAAGGGGCCCATTGTGGCCAGTGAGCGGAATTAACCACGGGGCCCGTTTCCCGAGGGGCGCAGTGGAGTCTCCGCCTCTGGCTGTTTTTACATCAAGCTGGGGTGCTCTTCTAAAGGTTCTGCTGCGGGAATTACTTTGGGGCCGTTCTCTGGCCTGTGGGATACAGGGGGTGAGACGAGACACTCACAGTGGTCGCTTCTGGCCTGGGAATCTGGGAATCTACTAAGCCCAACCCTGAGATGCAGCCAACTCTGGGGTGGGGCAGCTGGGAGGAAACAGCCACACATAACGCTGCCCAGGAACGGCTCACCTGGCGCAGAGATGCAGCCAGCTCTGGGGCGGGGCAGTTGGGGGAACAGCTGCATATAACATCACAGGGGACAGCTCCCCTGGAGCTGAGATGCAGCCAGCTCTGTGGTGGGGCAGCTGGGGGAAACAGCCGCACATAACGTTGCACACTCCAGTGCCAGCAACCCCCTCCCACACTCACATGGCAGGATGTCTTTGTACCGATTCTTCTTGATGTTCTCTTTCCTGGCCCCGACCTCTGCGGAGAACCCCTGTTGCTGCCGGAAGGCGCTGGCTCGGGCCTTGATGTCCTGGGTGGAGAGAGGGGACAGGAGGGGGATTAGGAGGCTGTGGAGAAGACGGGGTTAAGCAGGGACACTGAGAGAGCACCCCAGCAGCCGATAGCTCTGTGAGCCCCACAGTTAATGCCCTGACTCCCTAATACTCAAGTATACAGCACCCCGTTCCCTGTGACCTCAGCCCCTTTCCCAAACTCAGACTTCCCAGCACCCCCAAACTCCAAAGGTAAGAGCCATGGGGGGGCTGACTCGCCCGGCACTGAGATGCAGCCACCTCTGGGGCGGGGCGGGGCAGCGGGGGAAGCGGCTGCACGTAACGCGGCACAGAGACGGCTCGCACAGGGATGATCATTCCTGAGCACTTGAGTCAGGTTTATTTTGGGAACAGGCCGGTTCTGCCGGCTCTGGGCCCCACTGTGAGCACACCCACGCCCACCCTGGAACGGGCGGGAGACAAAACCCGCCCCTGCCACGGAACAACCCTCCAAGGAGAGTTAATCCGTGCAGGAGTTGCTTCCAGAATGAAAGCCCGGACTCCTGGGTTCTCTCCCTGGCGCTGGGAGGGGAGTGGGGTCTGGTGGGTTAGAACGGGGGCAGGGGTGGGAGCCAGGACTCCTGGGTTCTCTCTTCGGCTCTGGGAGGGGAGGGGAGTCTGGTGGGTGAGAGCAGGGGGGGCTGGGAGCCAGGACTCTTGGGTTCTCTCCCCGGTTCTGGGAGGAGAGTGGGGTCTGGTGGTTAGAGCAGGGGGGCTGGGTGTCAGGAATGGAGGGACTGACTGGCTCAGGGGGTTGGGCTCTAGGGGGCCCCAGCTACCTGCAGCCCCAGGGCAGAGGAATGGCTGGGTCAGTATTTCACCGGCGGGGTATTGCGGGGGACGGAGGGGGGTTACATTGGACGCCAGGAGCTGGCAGTTCTCAGCCAGGAGCTCGCCAGCGGCCACGGCTCCAGCTCCGGCCCAGCGCTCCATGCTGGGGCCCTTTTGTCTCCCGCGGCTGCAGAGAAGCAGGTGTGGAGCGAAGATGGTGGCAGGAGACGGGCAGGTTCTGCAGCTTCGCAGCGGATAAAAGTTTCTTTCATTATGAGGAAGTTTTTGACGTTCATTTCCGCGGGTTCCCGCCCCCCTCCCCCGGAGAGCTTTGGTGGGGTGGGGGAAGGAGAAAGAGCAGGAGCTGAGCGGCCCAGGTAGCCAATGACGGATTGGGCTAAATCACAAAGTTTTTGGTAATTCATTCCCCAGGTTTGGTATTTTAATTTCCAAAAGGACGGAGGGAAAAGAGAGACCCCGAGGGGCGGGATCCGGAGGGGAGACGCTCTGGCAGCTTCCGACTCTCCGGCCAACAGAGGTTCCCCCCCGCCCCCCCGCATTGTGCCCCGCCGGCTGCAGGCCAAAGGGAGAAAACTGGGATGTTGGCGGCTTCCCTGCGGGGTGGATCGCCCGATTTGTACCCAGCGGGGGACGATGGGAGGGCCAGAGCCCTGGATGAAGGGTGCGCGGGGGAAATGTTCGTCATGTGGGGTGCAGAGAGAGGGGGGATCAGGGAGGGAGTTTGACCAGCAGACCCCAGCTCTCTTCTTTGCTACGGGAATGGCAGATCTTCCCCGGCCAGGAAACTCACCGTCAGCAGCCAGGACCGAGACTTCAAAAGGCACCCCCCCAGGGCCCAGCCCTGCCCGCCGGGGGGGAGAGCCCCCTGCCCAGCCCCCCGCTCTGCAGACACAGCGCCCCCCAACGCCCAGCCCTGACTGCTAGGGGAGAGCGCCCCCTGCAGAGCCTCCCACCTCACGCCCCACAGCACGGCGCCCCCTAGAGAGGCCCATTTCCTCGCATCGTTGCCTTCACTTTCAGGATCCATCCGTGTTTTCAGTTCCCAGGGCTGCCTAATCCCATGGCGCAGCTTCTGCTTTTCACTTCAGCTCTGCTGGACGCGGCTGGTGAGCAGCCCCTGTGCTGGGCAAGGGAGCAGAGCCGGCCAGCAGTCCTGTGCGGCGTTATGTGCAGCTGTTCCTCAGCTGCCCCTCCCCAGAGGTGGCTGCATCAGAGCACCGGGCGAGCCAGGCCGATCTCTAGACCCAGTCAGCTGTAACTAAATCTGGAATATGAGATGGGGATTTAATAAAGGGAGTGACTGGCTCAGGGGGCAGGGAATGGGGCACGGGGCCTTTCCCCACTAAGGGGTGCCGGTTCCTCTCGCTTTCCCTTCCCCCTCTGCCTGGCCCCACCCTGGAGGAAGCTGGGATTTGTTCTGGGCTACATTTATATAACAAATCAGCCGCTGGAGCCAGGCGAGAGACAAGGGAACAAAGTCCCTTCTGGAAAATTCATTTCCATGTCGGAGGGGAGCATGGGCCAGTGCGAAGCTGCACAGAATTAACCCTCCCCACCCGACTCACTCCCAGCACGACTCTGGACAGCCACACGGGAAACTGAGGCACCGAGCTGAGGCAGAACCTGGCCAAGGTGGCACAGAGAACCCAGGAGTCCTGGCTCCCAGCCCCACCCTGATCTAATCTGCTACACCCCACACCGCTCCCAGAGCTGAGGATGGAACCCAGGAGTCCTGCTTCTTAGTTCTAGGCTATACAAAGAACGTTCTGCTGTTTTATACTCTTAAACTGTGACAACCTTTGAACTTTGCCACTCCCCAGAAATAGCTGCATCTCAGTGCCGGGCAAGCTATCCCTACCCGGTGCTATGCCTGGCTGCGCCCTGGGTGGCCTGCCCCAGAGGTGGCTGCATCTCAGCACTGAGCGAGCCACCCCAGTGTGGTGTGATGTGCAGTTGTTCCCCAGCTGCCCCACCCCAGAGGTGGCTGCATCTCAGCGCGGCGTGCAAGCCGTGTGGTTTGTGACGGCCTGAGGCAGCTGCCAGCATAGAAGGGGTTATTTCACATGCTCAAGCCACGGTGATAGGGGGAAATTTGCATTTGGTGCCCGCTCAACACAGGGGCTATTTGAACTGGCACCAGGACTCAATGGAGATGAATTTCTGACGATTTCCCGGCCTCTTCTGCTCCCAGGCTGCAGTTATGCGAAGGACTAGCTGAGAGTGTGACTGGAAGGGCTCGCCCGGCGCTGAGATGCAGCCAACTCTGGGGTGGGGCAGCTGGGAACAGCCACCGAGAGTTACCAGAAGGGGCCATCCTTACTGAATCTCCCACTTCCCTTCCCGTCTGGCTTCTCTCCCCGGCTCTGGGAGGAGAGGGGGGTCTGGCAGTTAGAACAGGGGCTGGGGCTGGGAGCCAGGACTCCTGGGTTCTCTCCCCGGCTCTGGGAGGAGAGGGGGGTCTGACGGTTAGAACGGGGGCTGGGGCTGGGAGCCAGGACTCCTGGGTTCTCTCCCCGGCTCTGGGAGGAGAGGGGGGTCTGGCAGTTAGAACGGGGGCTGGGGCTGGGAGCCAGGACTCCTGGGTTCTCTCCCCGGCTCTGGGAGGAGAGGGGGGTCTGACGGTTAGAACGGGGGCTGGGGCTGGGAGCCAGGACTCCTGGGTTCTCTCCCCGGCTCTGGGAGGAGAGGGGGGTCTGGCAGTTAGAACGGGGGCTGGGGCTGGGAGCCAGGACTCCTGGGTTCTCTCCCCGGCTCTGGGAGGAGAGGGGGGTCTGGTGGTTAGAACGGGGGCTGAGGCTGGGAGCCAGGACTCCTGGGTTCTCTCCCCGGCTCTGGGAGGAGAGGGGGGTCTGATGGTTAGAACGGGGGCTGGGGCTGGGAGCCAGGACTCCTGGGTTCTCTCCCCGGCTCTGGGAGGAGAGGGGGTCTGATGGTTAGAACGGGGGCTGGGGCTGGGAGCCAGGACTCCTGGGTTCTCTCCCCGGCTCTGGGAGGAGAGGTGGTCCAGTGGTTAGAACAAGGGCTAGGGCTGGGAGAAGTGAAACAAAAAGGGGAAAGTGGATGCAGTGTTTGGGTTTCCCTCTCAATTTCACTTCAGTTTAACGCCCTGATTGCTAGTAACACAAGCCAGAGAATATTCTCTACTCTGGGAATTTCCTTCAGACCGAATCAATAGCTCAGACCCAATGGCTGATTTCCACTGGATTCCCAAGCTCTTGACCATCTATATGCAGTGGTTCCTTGCCCAGGGCTGAGATGCATCCACTTCTGGGGCAAGGCAGCCAGGAACGGCCAGGCTGTGACAAACGTTTGCAGGAAGAAGCACTGGGGGACGTACCTGGAGTGCGTCCACCGGCTGGGAATTTGCTGGGTCACCCCACTTCATGCGGGGAGGAAAGATGGAGGCGAAACGTAATGACCCTACAGGGCTCAGGTTGTCTGTTTCCTCGGACAGGCACCTCCAAATTAATCGCACCCACTAACGATTTCAGGCCAGCACTGACTGCCAGGGGAGAGCGCCCCCTGCCCAGCCCCCTGCTGCATGGCACCCCCCAGCGCCTGGCCCTGGCTGCCAGGGGAGAGCACCCCCATCAAGCCCCCTGCTCCCCACAGCACAGTGCCTGGCCCTAGCTGCCAGGGGAGAGCACCCCCATCAAGCCCCCTGCTCCCCACAGCACAGTGCCTGGCCCTAGCTGCCAGGGGAGAGCACCCCCATCAAGCCCCCTGCTCCCCACAGCACAGTGCCTGGCCCTAGCTGCCAGGGGAGAGCACCCCCATCAAGCCCCCTGCTCCCCACAGCACAGTGCCTGGCCCTAGCTGCCAGGGGAGAGCACCCCCATCAAGCCCCCTGCTCCCCGCAGCACGGTGCCCCCCAGCGCCTGGCCCTGGCTGCCAGGAGGCTCTGCTAAGTGCTGTACCCAGGTCCAGGGCCCACAGGGATGCTGGTGGTGCAGGAATCCTGTGGGTAAAGCCAAGGCAGCTATTGGCTGGATTTCGCCATTTCTCGGCTCTGCCTTGTCCCCGGCATGAAAACTTGCAATGCCCCAGGCAGCAGGGCCGGGGGCTACGACCGGCAGTGATGGGGGACGCAGCCAGCCACCCACCAAGGAACCCAGAACCTCAGACTTCCAATAGCATCTCATAGGATCAGCCCAGGGCGTCCAGCTCTAACCACTAGACCCTGCTCCCTTCCCAGAGCGGGGGAAAGAACCCAGGAGTCCTGGCTCCCAGCCCCCCCTGCTCTAACCCATTAGCCCCCACATCCCTCCCAGAGCCGGGGAAAGAACCCAGGAGTCCTGGCTCCCAGCCGCCCCTGCTCTAACCCACTAGCCCCCACTCCCCTCCCAGAGCCGGGAGAGGACCCAGGCGTCCGGGCTCCCTGCAGCGCTCTGACTCTTGCTGGCCGGCAGGTGACGAGTTAACTCTGTCTAGGGCGGCAGCAATCGAAAGTTAAACCCAGACCCCAGATCAATGATTACAAACAGAAATTTGCGCTGGAGCTGGAGATGAGCGGAGGGTGTCAGGACGCCTGGGTTCTATGCGCAGCTCCGGGAGGGCACTGTGGAGTCCAGTGCCTTAGAGCAGAGGGGCCTGGGAGCCAGGACTCCTGGGTTCTCTCCCCAGCTCTGGGAGGGGAGTAGGTTCCAGTGGTTGGGAGAGCCAGGACTCCTGGGTTCTCTCCCTAACTCTGGGAGAGAAGTGGCGGTTAGTGGGTTAGAGCAGGGGGCTGGGGGCCAGGACTCCTGGGTTCTCTCCCCGGCTCTGGGAGGGGAGTCGGAGTTAGTGGGTTAGAGCGGGGAGCCAGGACTCCTGGGTTCTCTCCCCGGCTCTGGGAGGGGAGTGGGCTCCAGGGGTGAGAGCGGGGGGGGGGGGCAGAAACCAGGACTCCTGGGTTCTCTCCCTGCTGGGGGAGGGATTCCCCGGGGAGCTGGGGTGGCGCGGTGGCTCGGCTCCCCCCGCGGCCCGGCCTCACCTGGAACTCCTGGCCCAGGCGGCCCGGCCCGGGCTCGGCGCCCAGGAACGCCCGCAGCGTCTCGGCCCGGCTGCTCATGCTGCGGAGCGGCTGCCCCGTGGCCGGAGCGAGGGCGCAGGACCGAGCAGACTGAAGAGGAAGTTGAGGTCCCCGCCCCCCAACGGGCCGGCTGGGCGAGCCCAGACCTGAGCCTGGCTGGCCGCCAGCGAGGGGAGAGAACCCAGGCGTCCGGGCGCAGCCTCACCTGGGGGATCCCGCCCAGCCCCAGCCAGGAATCTCCCCAACCTTTGGGGCTGGGCCGCTGGGAACAGCGCCAGAGGTGGCTGCATCTCAGTGCCAGGCGAGCCATCTCTGTGGGGCGTTATGTGCCGCTGTTCCCCCGTGTGCCCTTCCCCAGAGGTGGCTGCATCTCAGTGCCAGGCGAGCCATCTCCGTGGGGCGTTATGTGCAGCTGTTCCCCCGTGTGCCCTTCCCCAGAGGTGGCTGCATCTGAGCGCCGGGCGAGCCCTTCCTGTGCAGTTTTTGCTATACGTTTGTGGGCAGTTTTGTGCTGGGTTGTTTCCTTCCCCTTCTCTGAGCCCTCTGGCTTCCTGGGGATGGGTGTCAGGGTGTCTCTGCCAAGTGCCCAAGGCCTGGCCCTGCCTGCCCCACAGCTGGGGGGAGCGGGGCTCAGCGTGCCAGTATCCAGCCCTTCTTGGGGACCAGCCACTTCCCCTGCCCTTTCTGGGATCCTTTCCCCTCCCGACCCTGTCAGCTGTGTGCACCTCCCAGTGGTCAGGAAATGACCTGCAACGGAGACTAACCTCACATATGCCAGGTGCAATTCTGCTGTGACCAGGGCATTAATATCAAGCATTTCCGTACATGGGGATGGCTCACCTGGCACTGAGATGCAGCCACCTCTGGGGTGGGGCAGGTGGGGAACAGCCACACATAACACCACCGCAAAGGACTGGAGGGCAGGAAGGGAAGGCGTTCTCTGTATCTCAATGACACAGGGATTTAGGGAGCCCTAAATCTGGATCTCCATCTGGATTTGGCCAGGACACTGGAGATCCATCCTCAGCTCTGTGGAACAGGGTCTGCAGAGAGATCAAGGCCTTGGTTTTCATGCCAGATTTATGACACAGAGCAGGGCTACCCGGGGCCGTAGGGAGACTGAGAGGCCTGCTTTGGGGAGGAGGAACTGACCCAGGTTGCCTGTCTCCCTCCCTGGCCTACTCCTGGGGATAGCATGGCTGGGGCCTGGGGGAAGGGCCAAGCGGCACGGGTGAGACATCTGCCCCATGGGG